AGCAAAGCCACCACGCGTGCTCGGCGCTGCAGTGCGCGCCGGTCGGTTGTCTAACTTCGCGCGTGACTCACGTCGCCGACTTGGTCCTTTGTTTGGCGCCTTAGGCCGTGGCTCTACGCCGCTTTCACTCTCCATAACACATGGCGAGAGCCCAAGAAACGGCTTTGGCCCGATTCTATGGTCTCCCAAAGGTGCACAAGGAGGGCGCTCCTCTCCGGCCCATTGTATCACTCAGAGGCACTCCAACGTACGGACTGGCAAGATGGCTGTTTCGGCGCCTCAAATTTCTAACCGCTGATTCGGACACCACGGTCTGTTCGTCAACGCAATTCCTGGAGAAGCTTGAAGGAGTAAGTCTCTTGCCCAATGAGGTCATGGTATCTTTTGATGTCACGTCCCTCTTTACTTCTATCCCCCAGGATCTGGCAATCGAGACCGTCCAGCTACTCCTACGAAACAAATACGATGAAACGGAGAATCGTCTCGGACATGCCCAAGTCCTTCAGCTCCTAAAGTTCTGTCTCAGGACGTACTTCACGTTTGACGGAACAATCTACGAGCAAGTGAAGGGAACACCAATGGGCTCGCCGATTTCGGGATTCATCGCCGAGGCGGTGCTACAGCGGTTGGAGTCGCTGGTCTTCCAACACCACAGACCGAAATTCTGGGCTCGGTATGTGGACGATACCTTCGTCGTCATCGAACGGGATCAGGTGCTAACGTTCAAAGAACGTCTCAACAGCGTCTTCCCGGACATACAATTCACGATGGAGGAGGAAGAGAATAACCAGCTGGCATTCCTCGATGTCCTCGTCTGTCGCAAAGATTGTGGTGGTCTAAAGACCAAAGTGTTCAGAAAAGCAACGAACACGACGCAAATTCTGAACTTCAACAGTAACCACCCAGTCTGCCACAAACGCAGTTGCGTAAGAACGCTATTTCGGCGTGTTGAGACGCACTGCAGTGAACCGGAAGACAAGGTTGCCGAATCCCAATATCTTCGACGGGTTTTCAGAGAAAATGGTTACCCGCGCAACTTCGTCAACCGGTGCCTGCGTAAACGAGACGAGCGACAAAATCGCGCCGACCCCAAATTCTGGCGAGCGATCCCGTACATCAAGAACGTCTCCGAGGCCGTTAGCCGCCTTCTTGCACCACTTGGGGTTGGAGTTGCGCACAGACCGGAGGCCACCATGAGGCGTCAAGTGATGAGACCAAAAGACCCACTGACATGGCAAGAAACATCTGGAGTCGTTTACCGGATCTGGTGCAGTTGCGGACAAAGCAACTACGTCGGAGAAACCGGAAGACTGCTCCGGACGCGAATCGCCGAACACGTGGCAGCTGTACGGAGAAATGACGCCAACTCTCAGGTCGCGGCCCATTCGACGAGACCCGGCCACACATTCAAGTTCGATGAGGCCGAAATTCTCGCGAGAGGGGATAATCGCGTGAGCCGCGAGTTGCTTGAGTCATGGTTAAGGGGACCTCAGTCTATCAACAAGTGCAACGACATCCCCACTCCATATTCTGTCCTGAGGCATAGACTGGCCAAAGCAATTGACCACTCGAGGAGCGCGCAAGCACGTGAGCCAGATGGCCGAGCAATCATCACGCCAGCATCCAACACGGGTGATGAGATGTCAGCAATTAACAACTTGCATGCCGGCCATCAAGCAATTAGCGCACCAGCGGGCAACAATCCTTGATCAAGGGAGCACGGTTAATTGCTGTAGGTATGCGGCAGCATGGCGACCGCATCCTATAAATACTGCGACTTCCTGTACACTAGCCACCCTTTTCTGCAACTGTCTCTGATGATGGATTCAAGAGAGAATCCGAAACGTCAGGCGAATAAAGCAATTGTTCCAGCGATCGCTTCTTCTTCTTCTTCTTCTGATCAAGCATAAGAATGTTTGTGTTGTGTTTATCTGGTGGAAAATTACATCTCCTTCAAATGCTATGTTTCAGGTAAGGGTATTTTTTAGTTTTGAAGAACTTTATAATCATGAGGTTTTCTCAGACCGTTATATGCCGATGCATAAAGCCTTATGTTCATGGTAAAACTGTATGAGTCCTGTGCATGATTTTTCCCGTACGGAATGTATTCAGCTTGTACTTTGGGAATTCACAGTGCAAGTGTAATGACAGGTCGGGTTCGAAATTATTTGTAACTGACAAATGTTTTACAAGACGGAAAGGTACTGTTTCTTCAAATATAACATTTAAAGAAGATATAATTATTTGGATTTATCGGCACATGGAAAGTCTGTGAGAAAATAGCAAACCCTTTAAGTCTTCATCTTTCGGAGTGTAGTTTTTACACTCGAATGCCACCCTCTCTCGACGTGACTGGAGTATCTTTGAACTATGCTGCACGAGAATGAAGATAATAATAGTATTTAGGTAATGCTTTCGGATCGGAAACGTATTTCAGAATTACGGCTAACATCTCCTGAGATAGCACATCTACTTTGTCTATGTTTGATTTCAACAAATAACAGTTTTTTTCTAAAATCTCAGATTTCTTGCCTGCTCATTTTACGTGTCATAAAGACAAGGGACAGAATGCACGAAAGATAAGCAATACTGCTTTAAAATGACATTTTCTTTGACATCTCTCGTGTCGCGTTACAGCGATGAAACCGGGACAGCTAATAACGAGACATCTTCCCCATCCCCCTCTTCAAACCCCTGACAGAATTATACCCTGACTCCTGACCTCTGAACTCCCCTCAACCCGCTCCCCATACTGGCTTTTATTGGCTATTTAACCGTAGATACAATACCCCGCTGATGAATAATCCAAAGCGTACGTTATTCGGGAATTGAAATAAATTCTAAAAACCGAACAATTTCCTCTCAGCAAGCATAAAATTTAAGGAAGACTTATTTTTTTTCTGAATTGGCGCTGGAATAAATGTTTTGCACATGTTTTCCATAAAATATTTTGGAATTTATAACACCGTCACGGGGGACGTTTCTACCAATTTGACAAGGTCTTACTCATTAAGGAGTCCAGTGAGCAATTGCCGGATTCTGCATTCAGTCAAGGTCCCGCCTCCGATGCCCGATATGGAATATGGGCCGTTCGTAGCTCATAGGTCTTAATCGCATCCGTTTAAAATATTGTGTGCACTGATGTCGGTCCAGCCGGTTATTGTGATAAACAATAGTATCAGAAATAAGATACTATTGGATCTGCTTGGTCTGGGTTTTTGTACATCCCCCGGTGGCTAGCACTTTTGTCTACCTCATGAGAGACAAATAAAGAATCAGTGAATGAGGAAGTATGAGATGACCCCTAGGATATCTAAGTCGAGTATTTATAGTCAATGTAAAACCATCTTCACGCATGCTCACGTGATTTGCGTCATAAAATCGATGCCAGATGGCTTCCTCAACAGTCTCTTTGCACTTATAAGCGCATCAATAAAAGCAGCAATTCTTGATTGCAGGCAGTTTGCCTAATTCACAACTGTTTCACCTCTAGTTTAGCAGCCTATTCGGGTTTGTTGGTGATTATCTCCTGCGTGGTGGTGCTGCCAAACTACGAAGGTGTACTTGATATTGGGCCACTTATGTTTAGCAATATCAAGTCTTCCTCCTACGAACACCCCTGCCGTCATCCTTCTCTCAAATCCCACGACGATGAACACGCTGACAAAGATCAGCCCCACAAACACCACCCCTTTCCTCCTTCCCACCACTGATGAGACGGCATCCGACGTCCCATCAACTATTACCCTCACCACCATCGCCGCTTTCACTACCAACACTGCGAACTCCATTCCTACCTGTCTGCAAATGTGGCCGCAAATACAACTCACACATCGGCCTGTTCTGCCACTTGCGAAACCGTCGCACTGTGACCGGTGCACAAGTGGCCGGAGTCCCGACATACGCCACAGCGCCTGCCTCCAACGCCCACACTGCCTAAGTTCATTTACCCACCGCACTGACCTATTCGGTGACATGAGCATCCACGAATGTAGGGCGCACTCCAAACACACCCCCCTTACCCGACAACGCTCTCATATCCAGCAAAACGACTGACCATTCATCAGCACAACCACGGCTAATGGCCTCATCACATCAACCGTCAATACTACATCCCGGAACCTATCGTGCTCTCACTGCTACCGCACGCATCAGTCTTGCCGGTCACTTGCGGAGCCATCGCACAGAGACTGCCGAACCGGCGCCAGAAGCAGCAACATACACCAGACGCACTCGCCTCCACTGCCCATTCTGTCCACGCACACGCACTCACCGCATGGGTCACTTCGACCACACGCATCTTAAAGAATACCTGCGGTCCACCACCGCAGACACGATCACATCACTGCGCATTCACCCACCAACACATGCACCACGCACCCACCCCTTCAAAATCCGACCTCGTCGGCGCTTATCATGTACAGTAGATGTGCTAACTCATGAAATGTCAACCAAAATTTCGAAATACGTTCTCGTTTCGAAAAGATAAATTAAGTAGTGTTGTAAAACTAATCATGATGCAGCATAAATCTATAATGATCCAGTTACCTCAGGGTGTCGGCTTTCGAAAGAACTTATTTTCAACTACATGCAAGAACTATGTTCTGCAAAAAATGACTATATAGGTAGCATGAAATTTTGTCATTGATTTTCGATGCCCTTGAAAATTCAATTATATTTCATGGAAAACATGCATAAAAATATTCATTCTTTTACTTATTCGGTAGAAAATCACGTCTTCTTCCAATTTCATACTCAAAAGAAGAGTATAATTCGGTTTTAAAAAAGTTTCTAGTTATGAGATTTTTTAATACCGTTAAATGGCCCTTCATGAAACGTCATGTATCTGCATTTACGAGTGTGGCTTGTAAAGTTAACAATATTGCATGCATTTCTCTACGGTGTTAAGAGGAGACCATATGAGGTTCATAAAATTAAGCAGTGGATTTGAGCAATATACAGCTTGTAGTTTGGAAACCCTGAATGCAAGTGTAACAGCAGGTCGGGTTCAAAATTATTCGGGAATTAGAAACTTTTTTAAAACCGAATTATACTCTTCTTTTGAGTATGCAATTGGAAGAAGACGTGATTTTCCACCGAATAAGTAAAAGAATGAATATTTTTATGCATGTTTTCCATGAAATATAATTGAAGTTTCAAGGGCATCGAAAACCAATGAGAAAATTGCATACTATTTAAGTAGTCATTTTTTGCCGAGTATAGTTTTTGCATGCAGCCGAAAATAAATTTTTTCGAAAGCCGACAACCTGAGGTAACTGGATTATTATAGATTTATGCTGCATCATGATTAGTTTTACAACACTACTTAATTCACCTTTTCGAAACAAGAACGCATTTCGAAATTTTGGTTGACATTTCATGAGTTAGCACATCTACTGTAAGTGCGAAGTGTGCTCTTTGGTTCCCTTCTCCGTGTAGCTCCTGTGTCGCAGGTGAGATCCGAGCGGTCCATCCTCTGTGAGTGTGCAATCCTGTTGTGTGTGCGTATTGGAGGCCAGGTCGTGCATATGGTGCACGCAGACGGGCTCTCTACTTTCTTTTCAGCCACTGTGCTCCTTTCCAGCGTAAGACATCTGGTCGACTCAGGCAGAATACTGGTACTTGAGAGCGGAAAGAGAGAGCGAGATCGATGTCTCAGTGCCTTTTCCTCCCTATAACCAATGTGACACGCTTAAAGCTGACGCGCGCTGACTTACAGCCACTCGAATCATTTCAGCGCGGCAGCAGGTGAGTCCAGACGGTTACGGCCTTCCAGACCCCATTTGAATGTATCACTTCTCGTCAGGTAGTACAACACACAGGCCACTTGAACAGAAAACACCTGAGCCTACCTCCCACGCATACAACAATCAACTGACATCATGGTCGTTCTCCCTCCCTCTCTGTCTCTCTGTACTCACCCTGGCCTTGCCTCCGGCTACTGTTGCCGTAGATGACAGCTGGGAGTTCCGGTGCACTTTTCTTTCTCCTGCTAATCAGTCATCGTGCCGCTCAGGCTACCCAACTTGCAAGCTGCTACAGCACCACGACTCCTGGCGGCGCATCCGTTCTGTACACATTCGCTAGTCGAAACGGGCATGTACTAAGGATATCGCGGAGGGCCAATGGGCTTGTCCATCCGCGACTAATGGCTTCCACTCAAATAAGGTCGTCTAATACTTCTTCCTGATACCTTCGATTTCGACAAAGTTAGGGTCTGCAGTGAGTGGCGTGAAAACGTGTAAAAGGTGCTGGGGGAAATTAACTGTTGAAAACACCGACCGCCTGGTCTGACAATTAATAGATGCGGAACAGACAGTGTTAACATCTTCAGGACTAGCAGTACACCGCTCGCCTATCTAAGGGTAATAAGCCCCAGCAATGGTCCATGTCACGAAATACAGCTGTAGCACACTGCAGCGAATATTGCCACTGAGGACTTACATCACACGGGACGATATGGGACCCCTAAACAGGCACGACGCGGTGGTGGATGTAGACACCCACCCAGAAGTGTACGAGGACAGGGAAACCCCTTCTAAGCCAGATGTCGGCAAGCTCCAACTGAATCAGGAATTGCGCAGTAGTGATCTTCGATACAGTTTTGGTGGGCTTAAATGCAGAAACAATGTCATTAACCGGAAGAGGATGCTGACTCACTGCTTGCAGATACAGGATAAACAAGCAGGAGGTCATCAGAGAAAAAGTA